AATCATCACCTCACTTACATGAGGAGTATACACCCACAGGTGTTCGTTGCGAGCCATCCAATTTTCAATTGGCTCCTCCGGATTTTGAAGCCGAGTACCAGTGGATTCAGCCACCGAATTCTTTTGTTCATCAGCTTCTGCTTCATCCAGAATACCTTTTTCACCTTCTTTTTGTGACACATTGGTCATTTGCAGCGCTTTTGGTGCCGAGGATGAGGTAGATTCAGCTCCCCCACTCGCAGGTGGCTGAAAAGTGCTTCTTTCCGTAATCTCCCGTCCTCTATCTTTTTCAAACCGGACCTGATTGGCCACCTGTACCAAGTGTTTCAAGAGCGTCAGCCGCTCCTCTGACATCTCGTCGTGGGAGTACTTGCAGAAATTTGACCCCTTCCGGCAACGTCCTCTGAGGTAATAATCGAAACAGCAATGGTGGAACCCTGCGTCCCTTAGTGCCTTCCTGGAAGCATTGTCCCAAGATTTGCCGGGCTCCCAAGTCCCTTCCAATGCTATGTCATCGTTGTGAAGATACCTGCATGTAGTCCCATATTTACAACCACCCTGATTGTAATACAGACACAGACGACCTTTTGGCTCACCCGACGTAGGTTCACCCTTTGATGCACCTTTGCCAAAATTGTACTTGGCCCGGAAGGCTAAATCCTCCCGCTCCTGCTGTGCCTCATCCACTGTACCTTCCTCTGTGGGAGGGTCACCGATGTTCCCATCCTCATCATCAGCTTCTTGGCTGTTCTTTGGATCAGTTGACCCTCCTCCTGGCCAACCCTCACCATAACGACGATGCTCATAGGAACACTCATCACCATTGCGACACCTTCCCCGATTGAAGAACTTGCACAGCTTGCTGTATCCAGGTGACAACACAGTCTTTGGAGTCATGTGAGCCTTTTTGTACTGGTCAGGGTCCATGTAGGCTTCCATTGGCTTGTTCTCCCTTTTGCTCATGGATTGCACTGCACCATCAAGCTCCTGCAAAAATAGCTTGGTGTCCAACCAAAGCGCGTTCCAAAACTCATCTTCCCCTTGATTCAGCACCGTTGCCACCGCTTCACCCACAACTGGTCGAGTAAATCTCCTTTTTTTGCATGCCAGTTCGAAAAGCGCGTTGTGGTACTGTTTCCGGGAAAAAGTGGTTAACTTCCCCAAGCCTGTGCTTTCTGTACCGTCAGGCTTCCAACCATCATTTTGCAAGATGCCATACGCGCGCCGAGCTTCCGCATTGAGGAATGCATGATCTGCAACACACTCCTGTAAATCTTCCATCGGGCGACCCAACAGCATCCCAGTGATTTTGCCAACATAGGCCTCATCTTCGTTTCCATTCTCCAGAAGAGCTTTGTAGATCTTTTCTCCATAAAGTTGCCTTTCCTCTCGTTCTTCTGAGGATAACTCCTGTACCACAAGCCCTTCATCGGATTGCTCTTCCTCCTGTTTCCAGTCCCATTGACCGTTGGAATCTTGGTACCATTGACCAGCATACCATGAATCCGTCCACCACGTACTCCAGCCGCTGGGTTTCCATTTCCGCAGCGTCGAGGAAGAGTCCTCCACGTCCTCTTCCAAAACCAGAAAGGTGTCCAAGATTATGGTACCATCATCTTCCACTCGTTTCACTGTTCCATTGACAGTATCACCAAATCTGAACCATTCAAATCACCAAGGTCCAAAAAGGCTCCATACCCATTGATGCAGCGCACTAGACCCATAATCTCATCTCCCTCTTGATAGCAATGGTTCCCAGGTGATTCCAAGGCTCCCGCTCGGGGCACTTTCTTTACATGCTCTTCAGAAACCACCTCTGTATCATCGGCTCCTGGCGCATCATTTGCCTTCACCTTTGGGTCACACTGCTCGTCCTGCTCCACGAGTCCCACAGGCTCATCTTTTTTGTGCTCCTGGATTTCAGGACCTCCCTTTTTCTCCGCCAAAGGCTTTGCCTCATCTGCTGTAGTTCGCTCGGTGTCGACTTCCGGCAAACTTCCAGACGGCAACACTTCTCCCTTCATGGGAGTGGACCCATCATTGGAGTCCTTTGTCACACCTTCTGCAGCAGGCAAATTTTCTTCCACTGCAGGGCGATTGAGTTGATCATCCACGGCAGGCACACTTTCTTCCACCGCAGGCTCCTTTGGTTCCATGGTTTCCAAAGGAGAATTTCCACCATCGTTGACCACAGCTGCCTCATCGGCTCCGGTGTAGCCCTTGCTATTCCGTTCCTCGCGGCTAACTTCAGGTTGCACCAGTGCGTCCACCTGTGAACCTCCATCATCAGCTGCTGCGGAGACCTGCGCCCCATTGTTGCAGTCACCCGTGGAACGTAACACCATATGCACCTCAACCCGTGCTTCCTTCGCACTCCAGGTAATATCTGGCGCATCGACCCGCGCATCATTGGCGCTCCAGGCCTCATCTTTCAGATCTTCCGTGTCTCCAGCTATTCCAGAAGCTTCTTTTTCCCCTTGAATGGCAGGAATCTTGGCACCAAACGAAGAGACCTCCTCAGTCGCAACACACGACTTTTTCCCTCCGTCTTCCGAATCTCCAGGACCACCTTCCTGAACGACAGGTACCACATCCACCACTCGCTCTTCTGCAGCCGACACAGTTCCGATCTCCACATTGGGAATTTTTCCTTCTGGACCTACCGATTCCACCACTGCCACACCCTCAGAAAGTGCTCCCATTCCTTCCCGATCCAGATGTTGAGCTCCAGCGATGTCTGCTCGGTTTCCAGGAATCTCCTCCTCATCAGGAGAACCCGAGGTCGGGGCGTTACCACCAGCCCTAGGACCGCTATCCCTGATAGTAGAGGAAAAATCTTTTTCACCTAAACTATTTACACTACCCTGGAATGCCCTCGTAGACTCAGTCTTCGGAGTAGAGGATGAAGAATCCAGTGCCGCCTCCATTTCCAGCTCATTGCCCGAAGGAGACCCAACCACCTCGTCACTCTTCATCTTTTCACCTACCACCGGCAATGTCCACTTGCTTTCCTGCGTATCCAGGCAGTAATAATATTGTCTCCCATCTTCATGGAGGTGCCATTCCCACGTTGTCCCATCGCACGCTTTGATCAGATGCTCATCTTTCCGAAAACCATCCCTTTCAGAGACCTGACGCATCTCGTCCTCTTCTTCTGACAACTGTCGCAACCTCTCAGCCTCCATCTGTAGGATCTCCTCCTCCCCCATGGCGTATTCAGCAGCAGGTGCAGCTTCAAAGCTGTCCGCACCCTTCTGTTCGTGACCGCTTCCAGCACCTTGGGAACTCGAAGATGGATCATTTTGATCTTGTTCAGAGGCCTCCTGGCCGCTTGCAGCACTTCTCCAATCAGATCGGTCTGAGACTCTTGGTCTACCATTCGACCCGAAGTCGAAGTCGACGGCTGATACCCGTGTTTGTGCAACACTCGTAAAACAGTCACCTCCATTTCACGATCTATACCACCAGTCGCGTCCCAGTTCCTTTTCTCACCAGGCTTTGGCGATACAGAGACAGCACGTCCTTCAGCTTCAGTATTGCTAACCATATCCACATTGGGATTCATACCCACATTGGGGCTTTCTGCAACCAAGGCTTCTTCCAGATGTTCTTCAGCGCCGGGAATCACCTCTTCCAACACCGATCTTTCACCCAGAGACTCAGCTGCACCATTTCCAGCTCCACCATTTTGTCCACCATCCGAGGCAGGTTGGAGCCATCGCTTCGGAGAAGGCATTGCTTCTTGATCCCAAAGATCTTAAGACAACACTCAACCGCAGGGAACCTAATTTGGGCTCATAACCTACGGGGGCAACCGAAGGGGAAAGGGGAAAGAAACCAACCCTTAACAGTTGCCTATATGGATTTCCCAGATCGAACCAGTAAGAGAAGAATCCCACCCTAGAGGGAAAGACTAAGGGAGAAGGGTCGGGACTACTACCTCCCACAAGACCCAACACCCAACACACGGACACAACCTTTTCAACGAAAAGCGGACGGCTCGGGGCCATCTTGAGCCAAATATCCGGGTTCATTGACCCATCCAACCTTCAACACTAACTCCTTTCTACAATACCAATTGCAGCTCCGCACCCTAAACCCTAAATCCTAAACCCTAACCGGTGATAAGGGGATTTAGAGTATGGAGTTGGCGCACGTAAGGGCTTAGATGTTGGATTGGGGGCGGCGCGACATTTGCCCGGCCAAACGATGCGGGGCTCAACCTTCTTACTAACTAGGAGCGGGAGTAGGCCCTTATTTCCTTTTTTGCGGGTTGGGATTAAAGTCCCCTTAAAACCAACAAGGCTGCCCCTTTCTTTTTCGAGGTTCTCCCGGGTCTAGCTTACGCATCCCAAGCTACGCTCGAGCATCGTGAGTGCCAGTGGCCCGGTGGGTTTTTCTCAACTTCGCACGCCACCCTAAACCCTAAACCCAAACCCTAAACCCCAAACCCTAAATCCTAAACCAGCAGCCCGGCAGTCGCCATTGACACCTTGTCGACCTATTCCAAGCACATGATGGCTCCAGGAATACACGGTTTCACGCTCAAGCCTGGCTTCTTGTTTGTTTTTGTTTTTTTTGTTTAATAAATTTTGGTTTGTTTGAGTTTGTACATGTTCTAAGAAACGTAACATGTTATATTATGTGATTTTTGGATCTCATGATATTATATATGATAAATCACACGCTATGTATGCTTAGTATACTAGACTAGACTGACTATATTCTACTGGATGTTGCTATGTTATGTTGTTATGACTACTAGTTGCTTAAAAGCCCCACAAGAATGAAAAACAATACTCCACCTTTTACCCGAATCTTGTTTGTTTTTGGGGGTTCTTAAGCAAACAGTAGATGATGGTTTCAGTAGACGATATTGAGATGTTGTGTATTACGACTAGTTGCTTAATGACCCCCTGAAAAAAACAACATATTCTTCCTTATTAAGGGTAATATAGGGATGATAGCAGATTATGGTTCTATAATTGTCTCATTGGCAGGTCAAGTGCTTCACCGCCGACATCGGCCAGCCGGACGAGGAGGACGTGAATGACGTGGTCAAGACTCGCGACTGGCAAGTAGGTTTGAAAGGCCTTCGAACCCTAAACCCTACACCCTAGCCCCTAACCCTAAACCCTTAACCCTTAAACCCTAAACCCTAACCCCTAAACCCCAAACCCTAAACCCCAAACCCCAAACCCTAAACCCTAAAAGGCTCAAGCTTAAGCTTGTGCAACTTCAGCAGCCCGCATGGCTTTTCTGTGTTGGGGGAGATGGGGGAGATGGGAGGTTTGCCTAGTTGGAGGTTCCTGGGTACTTAGAAGTAGGGTGTTTAGGGTTTAGGGTTTAGGGTTGGGTGTTTAGGGTTTAGGGTTTAGGGTACGGGGATGTTCCCCTTATACTAACAGTCCGTACTAGGGAGTGCACTTATACCCTTATTCAGGGTACTCATCACCCTACTTTATATGTCTTCATGAACCTCCAGGTAAGAGGCTCAAGAGCTGCAGGGGTTAGGGTTTAGGGTTCAGGGTAACCCTAAACCCTAAACCCTAAACCCTAAACCCTAAACCCTAAACCCTAAACCCTAAACCCTAAACCCTAAACCCTAAACCCTAAACCTAGGGTTTCTGTTTTATAGGCGCGTATATTGGGGTTATTGGGGTATCTAGGGGCTACATTAAGGTATAAGGGTAACAGGTAAAGAGGCCACCGGCCTCTACAACCTAAACCCTAAAGCAGGGTCATGAGTCACAGACTACTTCGGGCAGATATGCATTATTATTAATAACTGCTAACTTTATGTTATTGTTGTATAGCCATGTGTCATTATTCCCATTATGAATCTACTATGAGAAAGGTATTGAACAGTGCATAGTAATAGCTGAATGTGTTGAGCTTCATGCCTCTCCCCTTCGGTTTTAAGGTTCAGGTTTAGGGTTTGGGGTTTAGGGTTTAGGGTTCAGGGTTTAGGGTTTAGGGTGGCTCAGGGCTTATATAGGTGTTCGCAGGGGGAGGGGAAGGGCGGGTTGGGAGGGGAGGGGGGCGATTCTAGGGTTGACGTGGAGGGTGGAGGGGGCGGGGGAGTGGGGGGAGAGCCAGCATTGTTTGCATCATCGCAGTGACTACGCTTATCACTTCTCATCGTTGATGTCATAACGCTATCCTTGCTGTTCACCCTAAACCCTAATTCCGAAACCCTAAACCCTAAACGCTAAACCCTAAACCGACCCTGAAGCACCATCCAAGGAAGATGGCACCTTGTGGAGTGGACACAGTGGTCGTGGACCTTAAGGACTCATCCCATTTGTGGCCCCTGGGCGCCGCCTTTGAACGCCCAGCCAATAGGGCGCGCAAGCCACCCCAAAATGCCTCTCAAGACCCTAAAGCTTGAACCTGGAGAACCCCCAAGCCCTAAACCTTGAACCCCAAAGCCCCCCTCAAAACCCTAAACCTTGAATCCCTAAACCCTAAACCTTAAATCCCTAAACCCTAAACCCTATAAACCCTAAACCCGACAAACCCTAAACCGTAAACCCTACAGGCCTTGAACCCTGAATCTTGAACCCCAAAACCCTCAAGCCTCGGGAGGACGAGATCGCCGAAGGCGCAATCGAGGCGGTGGCTGCCCAGGTCTGGGATCCCAGGGTTTGTTGGGCTTTTAGGGATGTAGGGTTTAGGGTTTTAGGGGTTTAGGGTGGGATTTAAGGATTTTGGGGTTTAGGGATTTCGGGTTAATGGTTTAGTGACTTAGCGTTTTGGGTTTAGGGAAGTAAGGCTTAGGGTTTTGAGATTTAGGTTTAGGAATTTTTGGCTTTGGTCAGCCTGGTCAGACAGAGCACGGGGCGGGCAGCAGGGGAGGGGGGGAATGAAGGAGAGAGGCTGAACCACCGATACGACCGCACCCTCCTCATAAAACCTGCCCGCTCTGGCGACCAGAACTTAGACAACTCTGCGTATGATGATGATGATGATGATGATGATGATTCTTGCATGCATTGTCAGGGAAGAATCTTGGTAATCATCTGGGCGTCTAGCTTAACACCTTCATGTCATATTCTAAAGAACCTCGAAAGGACTGAAGGGTGCCCATACTTTTGGTGTTCCTGTCATGCAGGCTTTACAGAGTTCAGGGTTCAGGGTTCAGGGTTCAGGGTTCAGGGTTCAGGGTTCAGGGTTCAGGTTTAGGGTTTAGGGTTTAGGGTTTAGGGTTTAGGGTTTAGGGTAGGAGGGGCGACTTGAGTGATCCCACAACGCCTTGCCAGAAGAATTCTAGGGCTCCGGGGAAACTATGTTAATTTAGGGTTTAGGGTTTAGGGTTTAGAGTTTTTTGTTTAGGGCTTAGGGCTTAGGGTTCAGGGTTCAGGGTTTAGGGTTTAGGGTGATGCCCTGAGTCTTTGAGTGCAGGCTAACCCCTCATGCCTGTGAGCTGGGTTCCGTGTTGGGCAAATGCCCAAGGGGTCCAACATCGCCGAATTCAGGAGTATACCTTAAATTAGATCCTAGTAGGGACATTGGGCCCTAAGCCCTAAACCGCAGACAGTACGCTAGTCTCCCAAAATGTTGGTTCTAGTGTTTTGTTTGTTTGTTGTTTTTTCGGTTTTTGTACAGTATATGTCTGTGTTACTGCTCTTTCTTTCTGGGGTACTAGTGTATATATCTGCATTACTGCTCTTTGTTTTATGTGTGAGGTTGGTCTTTGGGGGGGTTACCATATATATATATATCTCTCTCTCTCTCTCTCTCTCTCTCTCGCTCTCTCTCTGCCCCGCCAATCCCCAAACCGCTCCCCTAAACCTTAAACCGACCTCAAACCTCACACCCTTAACTTAACCCGTAAACGTTCAACCCCATTCACAGCACAGGCAGAGGGGGCTTAACCTTGAACCCTAAACTTATGTAAACCTAAACCTTAAACCTCAAACCCTAAACCCCAAAACCCTAAACCCCCAAACCACACACACACACACACACTCACCACAGGGGGGGGGCACAGGGGTAGCACGGGCGGCCGGTCTCTTAAACCTTCAACCCCAAAACAGAACACCAACCAAACCCCCCGATCACACCACGGGCCTAAACCTTAGACTGTATTTTAGAATTTGTTCGGTACGTTCCTGAAGGGGTAGTGAAGTCTCTGGGGCCCCAAGGCCCCTAAACCCTAAACCCTAACCCCAAACCCCAAACCCTAAACCCTAAACCCTAAGCCCTAAGCCCTAAACCCTAAACCGCCTGCAAAATTCCTGCGGCCTCAGGCCATGTATGACGGAGGCTACTGGCAATCCACCGGCATTGGCCGCTACGTGACCGCGAGGCGCAGCGACGGTTAAAGCAACACCAAGAGCGCCTTGTGGCGGTTTAGGGTTTACGGTTTAGGGTTTCGGGTTTAGGGTTTAGGGTTTAGGGTTTACGGGTTCACGGGTTTACGCGTTTACGGGTTTACGGCTTTACGGGTTTACGGGTTTACGGGTTTACGGGTTTACGGGTTTACGGGTTTAGGATGGTTTAGGGTTTGGGGCTGAATCAGCCTGCTGTTTACCATAGAGTTGGGGGTATATTCCTTAAGGGTTATAGATTGGGATGTTCCCCCTGATACTAGCAGTCCTCAATCAGGACTTTCGCAGGTGGTAATTACTAACTATAATCCCGATTAAGGATTGTTAGTAAAAGGGAGAACATCCCATAATCTGTACTCCACCAATACAAGGTTAACCTTTCTTGGGCTGTAGGGTATTCAGCCCCTAAGAACTTATGTGGTCACTGCAAAACCCTAAACCCAAGGTATTCTCCTTAAGGGTTCTGGAGCTTTGTGGCCAGGGGCTTGCTGGCGGAGATGAAGAAGCACGGCTGCACCGTCCTGTCCCATGGCGCGACGGGCCGTGGAAACGACCAGGCAGGGGCATAGACCCTAAACCCTATAAACCCTGAACCCTAAACCCGAGAGCTTGCTTGCGGGATGAGTGCATGTTGGGGGGGGGGGGGGGGGGGGGGGGGAGTTTCTCGAAAATGTGGTCCGTTTGGGGGTACCCTAAATAAAGGCTCCGAACTATCCGAGGAACGGACCATAAATGAGAGACCACCCCCCCCCCCCCCTTTGTGGGCACTAGCGTTTAGTTTAGGGTTTAGGGGTTTAGGGGTTTAGGGGTTTAGGGGTTTAGGGGTTTAGGGGTTTAGGGGTTTAGGGTTTAGGGTTTAGGGTTTAGGGTATAGGGTTTAGGGTTCAAGGTCCAACCTTCGGCTAAGAAGGTTTGGGGTGTTTAGGGTTTAGGGTTTAGGGTTTAGGGTTTAGGGTTTAGGGTTTAGGGTTTAGGGTTTAGGGTTTAGGGTTTTAGGGTTCAGGCTTCAGAGTAGGACCCAAGGCGCTGCCGAAACTCCAGCAGACCCTAAACCCTAAACCCTAAACCCTAAACCCTAAACCCTAAACCCTAAACCCTAAACCCTAAACTCCCCCTTTGTATCAGCAACCGCTCGCAGGTGCGCTTCGAGCGATACGTCAACGCACCTCGCAAGTGACACACGAAGGGGTTTCAGGTACTTCTTGAGGGGTTGCTAGATTGCTCCCCTCTAGACCCTCAACCGTACTCAGCCCCACTAAACCCCACTAAACTGTCTGGTACTCTACAAAGCCAAGCCCTCAGTCCTGAACTCAGAGGTTTCGGGTGGGCTGCGAGGTTTGGGCTGGAGAGGTGGACTGAACGTGCCTGGAAGATCAGCTTATGGTTGGCGACGACTCTTCGTCTGTCTTGCACGTGACTGCCTGGTCCTTCTTAAATGTAGGGCTCGGTGGAAAGCTGAGCACGAAGCACTCAACCCTAAACCTTACCCTATACGCTAAACCCTAAACGCCAAACCCTAAACCCTGAACCCTGAACCCTAAACCCTAAACCTTAAACCCGCACCCTTACCCAAAAAGTCGTGGCAGCTTGGTCGTAAACCCTCAAGCGGAGTGTAGTGCGCAGATGTGGCAGCGGCGTTGGTCGACAGCTAACGACGGAAACCCTAAACCCTAAACCCTAAACCCTAAACCCTAAACCCTGAACCCCCCTCATCCTCCAAGAGTGCCACAACATGTCAGCGACTCCGGAATGTTGACCGAGAGTTTGGAGCAGGAGCACGAGCAGAGGCTTCTTCCGATGCGGATCGGACTGGGCCTGGTAGAGTGGGGACTGACGACCCCCGTTCCGGACCGAGCCATGCCTAGAAATGTCCTTGTTAACGGGGCTGAGGAACATGCCCAGAGACTCCAAAACCCGTTAAATTAAGAAAAATCCCTTAAATTATAATAGGAACCCTAATATGATTTAAGGTATATTCCTTAATTAAGGGGTTTTGGAGTCTCTGGGTGAGTGCCATCGTGGCCTGCGATGGGGCGAAGCCTGGAGGTCGGGAAGTGGTTGCTGCCCTGGGGCCAGTGGAATGGCCGTTGCCGCAAGGATGTTCCCCCAGGGACAGACTTGTCATCTGGTCAGCCGTCGCCTAAGCCCTAAACCCTAAACCCTAAACCCTAAACCCTAAACCCTAAACCCTAAACCCTAAACCCTAAACCCTAAACCCTAAACCCTAAACCCGAAACCCTAGCTAACCCTTCCTGAAGCCGGCTTTGACCCCATGAGCCCTGAACCCAAGCGCCCTGACCACCAGCCCTTTGGGTTTCGGGTTGAGGGCTTAGGGCTTAGGGTTTAGGGCTAACATGCAGGCGATGTCATAAAAAAGGATAAGCCCTAGAACACACTAGGGAGGCCATCCCTCATGGACTGAGGTGATCGATCCTTCCTTCAAGGTCTACGCTCCATGGCGAGACCCGGTCTTGCTGGAGGCATCGGTTCAGGGTTCAGGGTTCAGGGTTCAGGGTTTAGGGTTTAGGGTTTAGGGTTTAGGGTTTAGGGTTGTGCTTCCAAAGTTGCCGATGCCCAAAATCAGCCAGGGCTTCCAATACCGCCCACCCGAAACTTCACACCAACACAAGAAACTGACCGTTGCAGATCGTTCCGAACTGTAGCCTTAGCCCCTCCTAAGTGCTCCATGTTTAGTGTTTAGGGTTTAGGGTTTAGGGTTTTGGGTTTCGGGTTTAGGGAGGGAGGGAGAATGGCTAGCAGCGTTATTATTGCTGCAGCCGCCCGCACTCTTCCCCCCCCACATCTCGGGGCGGCTCCGCAGGCGTCATCGCCGCCCTCCGCGGAGAGTTCAAGAGGGGGTTTAGTCATAGTGCAGACCAAGGCACGGGAGACGACTGAACCAATCAGGGCACGAGCACAGGACACCAAGAACCCACCGAACCAACCCGAAGGGGGAGGCGGAGAAAAAAGAGATAAAAAAAAAGAAAAAGGAACGATGCCGCGCCCATCACGAACACGGGAAGGGGAGAGCTGACGCAGCGCGTACGCCGCAGACATGCAGGCAGAACACCGGATGGCACACCATAGACACTAAGTAAGCCAGGCCTGGGCAGGAAGGGACACCTTGCTCCAAGGGACGCAAACCCTGAGCTGCGACAGGGAGCCTGCACAGACCAAGGGGCTCCGGGCCCGTGCTTGGACAGCAACATGTGACGGGGCCTGCAACAGGGATCTGATGGCCTGATTAGGTATTTGGCACCTTGCTGTAAAAACTCCCACACACGTTGCAGAGTCGTGTAACAGGAGACACCAAAGCTGGCAAAGGCTGCAGGCGCACCGGAGGCGCCGGGGGCAACCGGGGGCAGCGGGGAAGCCAGCAGGACAAGAAAAGAGGGGAACCCACTGCAACGCAACTTGGCGGTGAACGAGATCCAAACTCGACGCCCTCACTTAACACCAGTGTATAAATGACTGCGACGACCCACAACCGACAGAGACTGTCAGGGGACGGGGGACGCCGAGCTGAAACAGTGTACAGGTTGCAGGTGCACCGGGCAACCGGTCAACGGGGACCACGAACTTGGTATCGCCGAGGAGCAGCCAACAGAGGCAATCAGACAAACAACGGTAGTCACAAGGGGGGCACCAAGGCTGAAGGCGGGGAGGAGCCGGGGAGCAGCTGGGGACAGGGGGTCAAGCAGGGCAAACCCTTGCCAAGTAAGGAGGGAGAACCCTGAAAAACAACCGGAAAAAGGGAAAACCGAAGCCCCACTGGGCAAGCACACGAGCTAGGACTACACTTAAGGTAGAGAAGGGAAGTGGCCCTCTGCAGTAGCTCGCCAGGTTGATGCAGCACAGGTTGCAGGCGCACCGGGCGGCGCCGGGGAGCAACCGGGTTCAACGGGGAAGCACGCACGTGTGTGAAAACCGCTTAGTGATGCAGGACCGGGCAATAACAAGGCTGCAGGAGCGGGGAAGCTCCGGGAAGCAGCCAAAGAGACGCCAACAGCCAATGACAGACTAGCAAGGCTGTCGGCACCCTAGGGAGGCGCCACTGGCGACCCGGGGCCGGGGCCATCCGCCACGCAAACACAGAAGGCACCAACGCACAACCACAGCCGCACAACCGCACAACTTAAACCGCGCAACCTTGCACCGGCCTTCGCACATCTGCGCAACCTCAAACCGCACCACCACACACTTGTACAGCCGCACAAGCACAGCCGCCCAACTACGCAACCGCGCTACTGCACAAGCGCACCACTGCACTTGCGCACGACCGCACAACCGGACACCAGCACAACCGCGCAACCACGCAATCGCCCAACCGCACAGCCGCTCATGAAGGACCCAGGCGGGCACAAACATCTGGACAAGGGGCGGAGCTCAAAACACAAGGCGGAAGGGAGACAGAGGTGGCATGTTGAACCGAGAAACTGAACAAGCAAAGCGACCGTCACATGGGCATTAGCTGCAAGCGCAGCTCGGACTGCCTGGCCATTAGGGGGCGGTTGACTAGCACAGGGCCGCGGCCCCACCCCCAAGACTGTAAGTGCACCACGCAGGGAGAGGAAGGCGGGCGACCGGTTGACTGGCACGAAGCCGCGGCCCCGGCGCCCGCCAACCTTCCCCAAACCGAATGTGACAGGGGAGGATGACTGGCACAAGGCCGCGGCCCCACCCCCTGCACAACTATCATCATACGACCAACCCAGCAAGAAGCCAGGGGAGAGGCAGCCAAGTAAATGGTTGACTAGCTTAAAGCCGCGGCCCCATCACTTGGCTACCTCCCCTTTCACTGCCGCAGCAAAGCATGCAATACACTATGGCTAGGATGAGCCAATGCCAGTTCGCTCAAATGCGAAAGCTTATGACCGGGAGAGGGAAAGAAAAGAGGGAGGAAAAAAACAGAAGAAACAAAAACAATGGACGTGGCACGCGACGCACGCACCCCACGGGACGTGGCATGCAGCACACGCGCTCCCCAGGAGGGGACGTGGCTAGCAGCGCACGCAACCCGTAGGACGTGGTCCACAGCGCACGCATTCCCTCCTGAAACCACATGACAGGCGAGAAGAAGAGAACAGCAGGGATTTCAAAAGGAGAGCCAACGCACATTCGCAACGCGAAAGTGGACCGAAACAAGGAAGCAACAAAAAAAATTAAACTCTTAAAGAATGAACGTGGCATGCGACACACGCACCCCGCGGGACGTGGCATGCGGCGCACGCGCTCTCCAGGAGGGGACGTGGCTAGCAGCGCACGCAACCCGTGGGACGTGGTCCGCAGCGCACGCATATATTCTCCCTGGCGAATAATGGCGGGCAAAAAAAAAAGGAAGCGGCTGTGAAGCAAGAATCCCGTCAAGACTTTTCACAGAGGTCCCCAAGAGAGTGGGAGAGCCGAGAGCATGCAAGGGAGAATCACATGGGTTCAGGAGCCAGAGAAGTCCAAGGACAACAGGCGTGAACTGAGAATACTGCAGCGGCCGCAAATTGTAAAGGGTCAGCAATACCCACAGAACACGAAAAGGAGGCAAGTCCTCAGGCACTGTCACTCTTGCGGCGGAGGGGAAGGCCGGGAGGCAGGTGCTCATCCGAGGCAACGCCTCGTTAGTGCCGCCCTCAGGGTCCTGATTCCTAGGGAGGCCCCCCCCTCAAATGAAAGCCACAAGACCTGAGGGCCACGGTTTAGGGTTTAGGGTTTAGGCTTAGGGTTTAGGGTTTAGGGTTTAGGGTTTAGGGTTTAGGGTTTAGGGTTTAGGGTTTAGGGTTTAGGCGGTTTAGGGGGTTTAGGGTTTAGGGTTTAGGGTTTAGGGTTTAGGGTTTAGGGTTTCGGGTTTAGGGTTTAGGGTTTAGGGACCCACTCAGACGGCGATCGAAAGCAAGAGGGTGATGAAAGGTTTCCAGCTGCACACAGGGGCACCAATGCTAGTGCATAGGGCGCGCTGAACTGGCGTGAGCCGTGCAGCACGGCTTTATAATCCCCGTTGTTGGAGGTTCATGGGTAGTTACAAGTAGGTATGGTCACTATATATTTGTAACCCTAGTTAGGGTACTTACAACCCTCCTTACAGCTACCCATGAACCTCCAAGTAATTTAACCTGAACAGAATGCGGCAATCCAAGCTTGGAACCGCCGCCCACATCAGTGGGACCAGGACGGGGCCACAATGGTAAGGGTAGATATATGGGCCCTTAGCATGGTCCCGTTCTGAAGTATGGGCCCTCGGGTTGTGTAGGGTATATAAGGGGTATGTAAGGGGACCCATTTCAAAGGCCCATGCAAAGGGACCATGCAACTACCCTGAGAACAGAAACCGAGACTGGCGGATGAAATTTGTGAGTTGGAGCATGCAATGGCAGTGGCAGATGAGGGGCTTAGGGAATTGTGACTGGGCGGATCTGTTTCACCCTCTCCTAAGCTACCTAGGGTTTAGAGTTTAGGGTTTGGGTTTAGGTTTACACTTGGAAAACTGCAGCAACTGGAGAGAGCTGAAGCGAATGAGGGGGTAGTTGGGCACCCTAAACCCTAAGCCCCGAAACCCATGAACCCGTGAACCCCTAAACCCCTCAACCCAACCCCGCCTAAACCCCTAAACACTAACCTAAACCCCTAAACCCCGAAACCTCTAAACCCTAAACCCTAAACCCTAAATCCTAAACCCTAAACCCTAAACCCTAAGCCCTACCCGGACCCTAAACCCTAAACCCCTAAACCTCTGCTGTTGCAGAGGAGTTTCCGGGCCGCTCCCAGATGCTGACATTTTTGCAGAAGCACGGCATCGACCACAAAATCGTGTCACAGGCGCCGGGGTTTAGAGTTTAGGGTTTGGGGTTTGGGGTTTGGGGTTTAGGGTTTCGGGTGCTTAGAGTTTGCCAGGACAGGCTATTATGCCCTAGTAACCCCCTCAAAAAGGCCCTTTACAGGGTGGATTCTGGGGATGGCCTAGTAGCCCATCCTGGTAGGGTTCGTGAAGTTGGCACCTAGAGCGCTGGAGGAAAACACAACAACAATAATCACAACAATGATAACAATAACAATAACAAAAGCGACATTAAAAAAAAAACTCATAAGAATAACAACAATAATTATAATTAGGAGAAAGCCCTATTCTAATGATTCAGCCCCCTGTATGAGGTGAATTAGAGTAAGTCCCATGAACCTTAAAGCAGGGTTTTGGAGTACTATACTTTAATACTTTTTTGGGTTCGGGTTCCTACTATAGATACTTATACCTAAAAAGTATATACATTTTTTCCAGGGTCTACTCCAAAGCTAAGGGGTTGAGGGCTTTTGATAACCCCCCGGCTGGCCCAAGTAGCCAAAGGTGCTGCTTGAAACTCAGCCTACACGAGGTACACTGACCCTAAACCCTAAACCCTAAACCCTAAACCCTAAACCCTAAACCCTAAACCCTAAACCCTAAACCCTAAACCCTAAACCCTAAACCCTAAACCCTAAACCCTAAACCCTAAAC